CCTCTGGTTCAAACGCCAGACAAGTCAAAAGTAGCTGGTGGTTTTCCCTTTGAACAGGATACTATGAGATAAACAAGGTCACCTGAGAAGTAACAGCCATCATAAAGCACTAGGAACCTTGGAAGTGGAAGGAGCTCCCTCTTCTGGTGTCAGAAGATATTTCCTTCTGTGAGCCTGGGCCACTGAGAGATTTTGAACTATCTGATTTTTTGAACTGATTTTGGAGATCTTTCCTAAAGACTAATGGATGTTGGTGAATGCTACATGTGATGCTTAAATTTACTGAAAGCTGACTCGGTGGGATAGGAAACCTCCCTTGTCTCAGGGTATTTAAGTGACCTCTAAATCTTACTATTCTATGGCATGTTGAACCCTTAACTCTGGAAGAAAGGACAGCAGAAAACAGCTAAGGATATTAAAACATTGTGCCCTTCTCATATGCCCCCAAAGCAATAGAGAGAGAGGGCCCTGCATCTTTCCTGGGCAAAACAGTAGATTTGGCACTTGCCATATGAGTGAAGGGACCCGGATCTGAGAGCCCCAGAAAGAACTGGTCCCGCTCCTTGTAGGCTGCACTGGGTGAGCTAGCCAAGGCAGTGCTGGAGAGCCCATCCAGGTAGTGACAATGAGGGAAAGCTAGAGAGCTGACCAGCCCATCTACCACCCAGGCCCAGAACCAGGGCTATGAGCAGGCCCTCCCCCAACATCCACCTCATCTATGAACTGTTGGAGCATGTGAAGGGGACCAAACCACAGATACAAAATAGCAGAATCTCCATGACACAGGACAACAACAGAATATCCAAGAGGAGTCCCAGTGAGAGTCCATTATTGGTGAGGTGAAGTAGCAGAAACCAGAGGTCTCAAGCCAGACCAATAACTCACGACAATGAGCACTTGCAAGTAAGATGAATGGACCAAACTGTGTGACTCCACAGGCCACACTACAGCTTTCACAACAAGATTCTTCTTTTGTTTGTTTGCTTTTGTTTCTGTTTTTATTTTTGCCTTGTTTTGTTTCTGTGTTTTTTTAATTAATTAATTTATTTATTCTTTTAAATTTGGTCTTGTTTAGGCAGAAAGGTCATAAGGGCAGAGAGAGGACGTGAGGGGACAGGGAGAGAGGTGGGATTGGAATGCATGATGTCAACTCCATAAAGAATCAATAAAAGGAAAATTTAAAAACAAACAAACAAAATCCATTGTGCCCTTGAGAATGGCAGGAGGGAGAAACTCTTTTGAAAGAGGTTGCTCTTGTTCATTCTATCCTGTGGTATAAAAAAACCTACAGTGGGATGAGAAAGCAACTCATTGATAAGAAAAAAACTTTGTTGGGAACTCCAGCTGAGTATCTCAATGAGACTTCCCTAGTATATTGCTGTGGGGTGTTATAAGCTTCCCAATTAAAAATGCCATCTTTGTTTGCTCTCAATCGGGCCACCCCAGCTGTCTCTGTCATATGTTGTCACCTGAACTTGATGTTTTGCAATATATCTGCTGCCTTTGTCTATGTGACAATATTTGTTCTTTCTCTTTTTATGTTCGCTATTTGTTTACTGAATGCACACTTTCAAAACTGGAACTATGGATATCACATATTATTTTCTGGACCACAGAGAGCACGACCTTTCAGGGGCCACCTTTCTTCCTATGCCCATAGCTCACTGTCCATGGTGGCAGTGGGCAGAGATTCCGTAGCTGAAATAGCAGAGGCAAAGAGTATGGTCTTCTTCAGCCCTAGAGGAATGTCGAGGAGGAGGCTGTTTCTAACGACAGAGGTTAGAGCATGTGACTCAGTGTTGTCTTTGGCTCTGGGCTTTAGAGACAGTGACAGAAGAAGGGGGTCTGAAGTAGCGGGGGGGGGGGGGGAGTTGTGAACACAGCCTCAACACGTGTAAGTAGACCCTGCCTCAAGCATTTCGTGTTAAAACTACTGATAGCTAGCCTTTACACACTGTTGGCCGAATTTAAAAGAGAGTGCACTTACACGCCATCAAGATATATCATTTTAATAGGCATGAAAAGTAAATGGTCCTATCAGATAGGAAATGTACATGTGGAAAATGTAAGATTATGTCAGCTTCACAAGTCTTTATACCTCACAGATGGTCCATTTAAATCTCATGTTTAAACACACACGTGTTAATTGGGATGGCTTCCCACTCATCTCAATTCATGCTTTTTTGTGTACAGTACCATTCTGAGGGAACATTCTCTGTGAGTGTCTGTCCTCCGGCAGGCTGTCAGAGGACCACAGAGCAGCCAACACACAAAGGTACCATTATGCATCACATCATCCCTCGAGCACCTGACATCCACAGAGTTGGAGCTGAGGCTTGGAACCAGGCGCTCCACCTTATCGTTCCTCTTACCTTCTGTGTAAGATGAAGGAGGAAGATCTTCTGCATAAGTCTGTCTTCCAGGAAAGGTTGCCACCTCTAGAACGTCCTAAAATGAAGGGCTAAACAATAATGGAGTCTCGAGTGACGTGACAGGCTACAGGGCTGTACCTGGATGGTAGACTCCCCGCACACAGAAGGTTGGGACACCTGTGTGGAGGATTTGGCACTTGGCACGAACAGAATTCAGGTTATGTTACGTGCTCTGAGAATCACTGTCTAAAGCAGTGACTGTCCCATTGGTTATCTTTGGCTTTAATATCTCACAAACATTGCCTGCCATAAACAACAAGCCTCAGAATAAAGCACAGAAATAAAAGGATCACAATCATTACATTGATGCTTTGTGTTAAAGGACTGTTGCAGGCATGCGCAGCATTGTAGATGTCTGTAACTTATAAATAATTTTGTCTGTTCAGATTTAAACCAGTTTACAAATTGTACAATTGATTCATAAATTTGGGAACATAGTTCTACAAAAATCTCACCAGGTTGATAACACTACTGGAATATTCAGTAAGACTTAAATTTCTTCAGCTTTATAGGTCTGTACGAACAGTAAAGGCTTAGGAAAGTTTATCTGTTAGTGAAAATAAAGAAATGTAAAATATTTAGTTGACTGCCACAAATGAATTTGAAGGTTTGAAGAAAAATCTATTGAAGTCTTAGAGTAAAACACCTTGAAACTTGGGGGTTAAAATTTTCTGTGCTTCAAATTGGAACAATAGAGATTGGGAGTGCCAGCCTACTGTCCTTACCTTGCATGCTCTGAGTTGGATCCCTACCCATACAATACTAAAATAAAAATAGGTGTTTTCAAATTTAATTTAAGAGGAGTCCATTTTGAGATTTTTTTTAAGTGGGTGAATCTAGAAGCCTAGTTATTCTACCCATTAAATAGCTCTTGAAAGCACATATCCCTCTAAGTTTAAAGTAATACTATCTTTTCATTTACATTTATTTTGGGGAAATTCAGATTTTTGTATGCCTGTCCTCTATTCTTTTACTTTTCTTTATCTGTATTTAACAGAATACAAAATTTTGGGGTCTATTTTCCATGTATATTAATTTTTCTTTTATCAGTTCTAGCAATCATTCACTTGTGTTTGGGAGAACTCCTTGCTTCATTTTATTTCTGGTTTTTCCTGTAATACAGTGATCGCTGCCTCACCTAATTAATCCACATTCAAGATAGAATAAGCACCTTGATAATCTCCTGTAGTGATGAAGTGATATCAAGGTTAACAGAAGCACAATCAGGATCTGGCTGCCTATTTCAAGATGCAAGAAGATGTCGTCATTGCCAAGTCAAGGAAATTGGGGGTTACAAAGAGCACTGAGAAGCTGGTGCCCCACCAACAGCAAAGGTTAACTCAGTAACTGCCCCCATCACTCACATTCCTGTCTGTGCAATCAGTACATCATTCCTACTGACTGATTAAAAGGGTTTCTTATTGGGTTTATGGTGATGTAGCATGAGATACTCATGAAGGAAATATGGCAGAACTTCAGGAACTGAATCTTCAGATTGGTGACAGCTGAGAAAAAGCATGGAGTAAAGGGGGGAGGGGGACCCCTATCTTGCCCTGTCTTTGATGAAGTCTTGTCCTGGTACAGTCTAATCTTTTGGAAACATAAACACCATGATGTCACATAAAAGTGGAGCATGGGTGCCTTTTTTTTTTTTTTTTTTTTTTTTTTTTTTTTTTTGGTTTTTCAAGACAGGGTTTCTCTGTGTAGCTTTGCTTTTTTCATAAAAAGACCTCTGGGGAAGGACCCTTGGCAAAATGGCACTGATCACCTCACCATTCTTTATTCTTCTTCCTGGGCTGCTTTTACTTCACATCACTGGTCACCTCAATTTCTAGTCTTATATTTTACTTTGGTGTTGCCTGTTTCTCCCCCAGGAATGTATGCTGGAGACAACAGCTCTGGCTTGAACATCACTCCATTCTTAGTTTGCTGAATACTTCCTAGCATTTGGAAATGGAATAATAAACATCTGCTGAATGACTGACCCCATTTCTACCTACCCCACAGGCTGGTGAGTATGGCTGAGCCGCCTTTCTTCATCCTGTGTTCTAGAGCAGAAAACCCTTTATACTTTTGTTATATTTGTCATTATTTTGGACAACTTACCAAAGTAGATTTTTTGATAATCTTTACAGATTCTACAAATGGATGGAGACTTCCTGGCACAGGGTAAAGGAAATAAATATAAGACTTTCCTATTTGGGGCTTTAGATCTCAGTTTACTAACTTTTTCATGCTGTTCCAAAAACAGTATTCATAAAACACAACCTCAACAAGTTGAGAACCACTGGTATAAGGGCATGTTGTTCAATCCTTTACCTTTTTGACAGAGCAAATGGCAGAGTGGTCATGCTAGGCTATGCTAATACCACAATGTCCCTCTTCTAGTCTCTGACATCTTTGAAACCATGTGTCTTAATGTCATTACCTTTAGAAAGCTCACAGGAGGACTTCTGGTCTAGTTTTTGCATCTAAGTTTTTCATATAAAATGTCTCCAAGAAAGGAATTTCTGTATATGCATCATGTGAGCGTGAAGTATACTTCAATTTAAAAAAAAAAGTGAGGAGTTGAGGTTTTTGCACAGAGGTGCATGCATTCATTTATTTTTCATTGTGGCAACAAGATAAACAAGTAAAATTCAACATTGAATGAATTACAAGTGATGCCAAGGTCATGAATCGTGATGGTATCTATCAGGGAAATAAAACAAATAGTTTTCACAGTACAGACATGGATGAAACCATACATGACTTTGGAAAACTTATTGCTTCTGAATATCACGTCATGCACAATATGCAAAGTGAATTTATCACCCAAGGTACTTTTAAAGCGGTAAGAAAGTGAGACATTAAAAGTGCAACACTTTAACAAAACTAGAAATACAAACAACATAGAGTCAGCCTCAGACAGCTGTTCTTCAAAGGTCAAGAGACAAAGCCATCAGCAAAGGCAGTGCAAAAAGAGGAGGCTTGTCTGGAAAGAACAGATGCCCCTCAAAATCACACTTCTTCCTCTGACTCGTGTTCACGTTCGGCGTTTTTCAGGAGCCCAACTTCCGAGGTGCACACCTTCTTAAGTCTAGATTTTACTAACCTGAGGGGAAAAAGAAAATCATCTCTGGTTACATGATGTCAAGGGTCAAAACTTTAGAGTAATATACAGATTATTCCTACAACGAACAGAGGCAATCCCCAAAGTAAAATGATTTCTATTTGACTTGGAGATGCCTGAAAATGTGTGCAGACGACAGCAAAGGTCTAAGTAAACAGGAAATGTGTGTCTCTTAAATGTATTATGAGATTGCTTAGTTATGCACAACTGATCATTTATAAAAGCAGGGGACTCTATTGACTGTGACAATGTGACGCTGGTGGAACATCTACATTAAACCCACAACTACCTACAGACTGCAAAGAGACGTCATTTCCTGTAAGGAAGTACATGACCTTTCCCTAGAGTGACAGACCAAGTGAAGGCCCATGTCAAGCCTGGGCTGAATGTCTCTTTATGACCAGTTTCTTCAGCCTGTTTACATTCTGATTTTTATTTTCTCTCTTCCCTTTGCCCGTTCAGTTCTAGTCATACAGTCCATCATTCCCTGTGCTCCGATCCTACACAAAAGCTTCACAAGCACTTCACTGGCTTCATCCTGTCTGCTGGCGCAATCCTAGCCAGAGTCAGAAGTGATTCTAACCTATGACATTGACACATTGGACACACCACTGACATGTGAAGCAATCTGACAGGTCATGTCCCTCATCTGTCAATAGAGGTTACCAGTTCTTCAGCCACTGCCCGCTAACACGAACACCTCCAATAAACAGCAATTGAGCAGAATCAATAATTTCTGTTGACGCAACAGCCAAGAAAAAAAAATGGCTCAGTCATTTGCCTTAATTATTGACTACTGATTTTGCTCATACGTTCTGAACACACCAAGTCACTTCCGTTTTGAAAGGCTGATTGATGCTCTGTAACAGGTTAAGGGCTGGTTACAAAAGCCCACACATCCTTTCCACATAGTACCACATCCATCCATGTAAGACAAAAGGGATTAATCAATTATGTTCATTTCTAAAGACTCATGAGGACAAGGAAACAACTCCTGGCTGCTTTACTGGGAATGAAATGTCAGCACAGGCCCAGTCACAGCCACTGTGTCCTGTGCTTTCTCTCTGGATTGTAGCTGCTGCTGCTGTAAAGCCACTAAGCTCGGCCACATGCACACCTTTATTGGGCTCTAGGGACCTGTAGCCCACATGGAGAAATGGTTCTGTGAGGCAGGGTGAGAGCGGGGATAATAAAAAGGAACTGCAGCCTGGCATGGCGGTACGCCCCTTTAAACCACCACTCAGAAGGCAGAGGCACATGGATCTGTGAGTTTGTGGCCAGCCTGGCCTATGTAGAAAGTTCTAGACCCCATAGTGAGATCCTGTCTCAAAAACAAAACAAAACCCCCTCAAAATAACACCCTAAATAAATAAATAAATAAATACCCAGGCACAACTGCCAGTTACTAGAATGGGGGAAATTTGGGGAGTCAAGGTCAGGGTGTGACCCTGCTCTTGCTTCATGTTCTCATAAATCACTGTGAAAAAGAGCAGAGCTGACACAAAAAGTTATTTTTAAGAAACTCGATGTACCTGGTGTGTTAGCAAGCCCTGATTTGTTCTTCCCAATGGCTCACATGACTCACTGTGTGGAAAACCCGTCAGAAAATAGGCAATGCTTCCTTACTCATAGGCAAGGGCTATTGAAATAGTTATTTGCAAGAGAAGTACATACATCTATCTATCTATCTATATGTGTATATATATACATATATATATATATATATGTATAAAACACATTAAATATGCAACAATATTTCCAAACAGATAGGTTTCACCGACAAACTTACACAATCAAGACTGCAGGCAGGGGATAGAATGAGGCAATCTTGAACCACTATTTTGCAAAAGTAGGACATTTTGCATCATCTTTCAAGGATTTCGGGAGGAGAATTCAATAACTTAGAGGTGCTTGTGTGGCAGCCATTGTGCCATGTCAAACAACTTGGATTCAATGTCTGACATGCAATGACTTGTGGATAAGCAACCACTTCATAGTCAAACCCTGAGGAAAGGAGCTTCAAGCCTCCTTAGTCTCAAAGTTAGCACTGAATTCGTTTTTCATGGGATCTCACGGAAAGACAATATTGAATCTTTTTTTTAATGCTGAATCTTGGTGGTATTTTGAAACTGTTGCTTAAATATGTATCAAAATAGTTCAGAGAATCCTGGTCTTATCAATATTAAAGGAAAATCAATGAACATATAAAATATAACTTCCAAACAAAGGAAGGTTGTATTGAAGCACCTTTGAAGTAGAAATCTAGTAAACAGCTAACAAATGTTAACTGAGCACTTACTGTATGTCTGGCAATGTGCCAGTCGCTATGGGGATATGAAAATGATTGTTTTCACGTGCAGATACAGACTAGCTGTGGGGACAGGCGAATGGGGGCAAGTGGTCAATGTCACAACTTATACTTATATGTAACAATATTCAAAGTCAAAGTACTACTGAAGCTCAGGAAACAGATCAACATGGGCCAGAGGAATCACAGAAGGTGTCAAAGAAGAGATGGCCGTTTAGTGTGACTGCAGCAGGTAAAGGGAACTAACTGTCTGGTCAATCAAGAGATTAGAAGAACACGTGGTGGGGATTGGGAGAGGCTGGGAAATAAAACTGGAGTTTCTTGTTTCTGGGGACCTGTTAGTGGACAAGCCATGTATTAGGCATCTGAAGGCTTTTGAAACATGAAGAGACAGTAGTCATCTGCTGGCTCTGGAGGGGAGCGGACACGAAGTAGAGTTTTTCCTTGCATCCTGGTACTGTTGCCGAAGACTCCCCAGCCCCTAAGAAGATGAGGCCCAGATGTCAGCCTGGAACAACAGGGGGAGAGAGCAAGACTCAGTAGCCCAGCCAGCCTTAACGACGAGCAGATGCACATGCTTGGGGGGAGGGAAACGGAACGAGCAGAAACAACCCGAAGGAGGAGGAAGAAAGCAGCTACAGAGCCAAGTGAGCTGCTCCAAAGCCCAAGAGGGACGTCTGGGAGCCGGAGAAGGCAACAACAGTTCAAGTTTCTCTTTCAGAGCCCTGGTGTCCCAGCTGCTCCAGCGTACAGCTCAGAGGAGGAGGGCTGATCTGGAGCCCATGCCCAGGGGATGGATGCAAAGCTGGTTGCAGTAGAAGCTGGCAAACCACGGGGCCCAGAAACAGCTACTACATTCCAGGGGTCTGGAGAGCCTGCAAGGTGTGCAACACTATCTACATGTTAGTATTCGGGTCCACTAAAAGTAATAGGGACTGTGTCACATTACAAGCTCTCGGGAGCTGATGCCCACCATGCCGAACACTTACATACGCATTACTGCAGTTGTAGAGTATTTCACCTAGTGTAGCCGTCTTAAGAATCGAGTGTTGGAGTCTGCATGTCTAGTAATTAGGATCAGTCCAGCCCACTGTGCTTCAGCACTAACCCACCCTGGAAACCACGATCATCTGCTTTTTTTTTCCTGCTCATTTTTGAGCTCACCTTTCGGTTTGTGAGGAGCCTTTCCTGAGCTCCTTCTTTCTACTACGTTCACTTGCTGTATTCTATTTTAATTGTCTACCTCTCCAATCTGCCCTGGTTACCGGACAACAACATCCCCCATGGGAGGGTCTCCGCCTCATATTTTTATACCAAATAGAGAGGAAGAGGAAGAGGAAGGCAATACAGACTAGGAGACAAGACCATTTGCTGAGTTTTTACATCTTCAGGAACATAAGGACACTACTTCATTTAGATTCCATTATCTCTATTTAGTAAACAATAAGATTCATATTTATTGTGGTTGAGTCTGAAGTCATAGCCAATAGGCCATAGAACTAGGAATATGTGTTCTCAGCAATCTGGTATTTTGCTCCTCACCTGCTCAGAAAGTTAAATCAGGATTCTTGTATAAAAGAATGCATCATTCAACTTTTGGAAAAATTAGAGTTACTGTCTTATTTAATTTGATTTGTATACATTTGTCAAAGAAAGGTCCCAAGGTTGTGAAATGGGACAATTAAAGTGTGTACACATAAGTAAGTGGAGGTCTCATCGCACATAGGGGAACTGGCCATCCAGAATAGAAGCCCACATATGTGAAGAGACAAAGCATGCTGTAGAACAGGGCATGGGTCGGAGGCACAGCAGCCATATCACTAAACTATTACAACTTTAAGTCAACATGGACGTTTTTGCTGGCCATTTCTTTGTGTAGAGATAACTTCCTAATGTCCTAGTCCAGTTTATGAGAAGGTAAGAATAAAACCTTCCTTTTGAATTTGACATTCAACACTGTCCAGTCTTGATGGGCATACACAAGGAAATGTACCATTCATTTTTTTTAAAGTGCCAACTTACCAGGTGATAAAAGTATAATTTAATCCGATGATGATAAAGGTTGATGCATAATGCCAAGAAAAGCACATGGTGAGGAACATCTTATTCTCAATATCTGTCAGATTCCATGGAGGGCTTCCACTGAGGGGATACAGGACAAAAGCAATCTGCAACTCAAAACAGGTGCACATTAAAATAACCATCTACATTCTCAAAGGAGCCTCTTTTCAAAACATTGGCGAACTAAGATGGCTCCCATTAGCTGAGGCGTCACAAACACAACACCAGGTTTTTCCGTAGTCACTCTCCACCGAGGCATATTTTTGAAGAACAATTTTAAGTGTATTTAATTATCAAATTTTGAAATGTTCCTAGTGGTCACTCTGGCCTTGGGTGCATTTTCCAAAATCCCTGGAGCTCTAGCTACACTGCGCAGCCTCACTCTGGTATTTCAAAATTAGACTGCAAAAGGTTTTTAAATAAGTAAAAACCCATAGATAATGTTATGTTAAGTGGCAAAAGGTTGGGACTTTCTCCTCAGGATCAGGTACAACATAAAGATATTTTGTATTATCACCTCTGTTGAACATTGTATTGGAAATTTTAGTTAGGAAAAGTAGGCAAGAAAAATAAAAGACATTCATTTGGGCAAAGAAATTGTAAAGTGATCTATTTACATATAATATGATCTCAAATATTGAAATTTATAAAGAACCCAACCCCATAACCAAAGCTAATGAAGGAGTTTCACATATTCGAAAATTGAAAATCAGGACACAACTATCACATATATTTTCACACACAAGCAGTCAAAACTCAACAATATAGTTTTAAAAAATATACTTAAACTGACACTGAACAAAGTGAAGTACTCAAAAGCAAAATTGGAAATAAAGCTCCATGGTAGTACATCTTACTGGTATTCATAAGGCACTGCTGTAGATACCGGGCACCACAACCACACATGCACATGCAAGTACACATATGAATACACACAACCACACATGCACATCCAAGTATACACATGAATACAGGTAAATTGAAGAGCTTTAAAATTTACATGCCAGAAGCTGCATAAAGTTGTGTAAGTGAAAGAAGTCAAGGACCCAAAAAAATTGAAAACCACTTCAAATTATGGACTAGATGTCCCAATATTTTTGACATGGCAAAAATACCCAGGGCAACTGTAGAACCAAAATAACAGCTATTAATATCCCAATAGGGTTTTTCACAGACATTTTTAAAAAAGTTGATCATAAAATTCATATGGAATTGCATGGTATCTATTATTGCCTTTTAAAAAGCATGGTAAAATATCACCAAAGCTGTAGGACTCATACCTTTCAACTTTAAGATGTTTTGGAGTTCATCAGAGGTGGTGTACTCACAGCATTATGGAACTGCTAAACATTGCTGAATTGCATAATTTAAAATGGTTCACTCCTTGTGTGGTGTTTTGAATGGGAATGGCCCCCATAGGCTCATATATTTGAATTCTTGGTCATTAGGGGAGAGGCATTACCTGACAGGGATTAGGAGGTATGGCCCCTTTTTTGAGAAGATGTGGCCTTGATGGAGGAAGTGTGTCACTGGGGGTGGGCTTTGGGGTTTCAAATGCTCAAGCCAGGGCCAATGTCTCTCTCTTCCTGCTGCCTGTGGATCTGGATATAGGACTCTCAAGCTACTTCTCCAGCATCATGTTTGCCTGCATGCCACCATGCTTCCTGCCATGAGGACAATAGACTAAAACACTGAAACTGGAAGCAAGCCCCAACAGAATGCTTTCCTTTATTTGTCATGGTCATGGTGTCTTTTCACAGTAATTGAACAGTGACTTAGACATCATGTTATGTAAATTTTATCCCAATAAGAAATAAGTAATGTTTTATAGACACATACACATATAGTATAGATGGATGGATGGATGGATAGATAGATGATAGATGATAGATAGGTAGATAGATAGATAGATAGATGATAGATAAATAGATAGATAGATAGATAGATAGATAGATAGATAGATAGATAGATAGATAGATGTTAGCTAGTAGAGAGTAGGACAGGGTCATGTATTGCTTAATTTTCCTATACTTAAAATCAATAACAAACGAATATTGTCTCCCAGAATATAAAGAAACCAGGAAAAGGTTATTAGGAAATACCTTGCTAGTTGTAACTAACATACTGTCTTGGGAGGAAAAATCATGGCCTTGAACTGGTTGATAAATAAAGGGCATAGGACCAGGATTGGAACAGAAAACTTTGATCTGCCTCTCTACCTTGTCAGGAGCTGATGCAAATGATGAGTTGATGGGACATGTTTCCACCCACGACTGCCACTTTGGAATGCTGGCCTAATGCTGCCAGATATTTCTGTTCTTACTCAAAAAAAAAAAAAAAAAAAAAAAAAAAAAAAAAAAAAGCTGAGAAAATAAACATTTTAGTGATGTTTCCTCTATTTCCAGTATTGGCAACTAACTCAAAATGTAGTCGTTATAAATTATATGTTGCTCAGGGCCTGTTAGTTTGTAATATGTATATGAGCCTATAGGGGGTGTCGTTCTTATTCAAACCACCATATTCCACTCTCTGGTCCCCATAAGCTTGTAGCCATATCATAATGCAAAACTGCATTCAGTCCAACTTCAAAAGTCCCTATTGTCTATCACAGTCTCAACACTATTTAAAAGTCCAAAGTTTAACATCTCTTCTGAGACTCATGGAAATCTCTTAACTGTAACTCTCTGTAAAATCAAAAAGCAGGTCACATACTTCCAACATAAATGACACAGAATCCACATTACTATGCTAAAAGGGAGGAAAGGGAGCAGAGTGAGGAAATACTGGACCAAAGCAAATCTGACATCCAGCAGGGCTAACTTCAAATTCTGCATCTCCATGTCTGATGTCAATGTGCACTTTAGATCTCCAACTCCTTTCAGCTTTGCTGACTGCAACACACTTCCCTTTCTTGGGCTGGTACCACCCCTTGTATGTAGCTCTCCTTGGCAGGTATCCCAGAACTCAGGTATCCCAGAGATGCCAGGCATCTCCAACATCTTAGGGTTTCCAAGGTAACCCAGGCTTCACAGCTTCATGCAATGGCCCCTTTGGGCCTCTATGCTGGGACACCCCTAACACACGCCTGGCCTCAGTGGCTTTCATTAGCAATGGAGGGAGACTTCACATCCCCTTTCTTATATCCTTGACTCTAAAGCCAGAACCACATGACCAAAGCTGCCAAGTTCTGCTGCTTGATGGGGCTGGAACTTGGCCTCCTCCCTTCAGTCACATTTGCATCAGCTTTCTGTGGTTGATGGCGAAAGCCTCACTGCCTACACTTTCCTTTGATTTTTTTTTTTTTCACAAGTTGGAAGCTCAGCTGGGTGAGGTCTTGCCCGGAGGCCACCGCTCCCTTTATTCTATTTAGCATCAGGCTTTTCTTTAAACTTTTTATCTTCTTCACATCTCCTCTACCAACACCATTACTCTAAACCTTTTCAATTTAGCCTTAGGCAGATTTTTAGGACGAGGGCAAAAAGCAGCCACATTCGCTGCTAAGACTATCACAAGAATGGTCTTTAAAATACTAACACTCTTCTCTCTGAAATTGCTTGAGCTGGACCTCCACAGTTCAAATCATCCTCAGCATGCTTCTATCTGTCTTCCATGCTCATCCAACTACTTTTCTAGTCCAAAGTCTCTAAGTCTTCATATTCCTCCAAAAAAAAAAAAAATGAGCATGATCAGGGCTGTCACAGCAATACCTAAGTCCCTGGTACCAACTTCTGTCTTAGTCACTGTTCTGTTGCTGTGAAGAGACACCACGACCAAGGCAACTCTTTTTTTTTTTTTTTTTTTTTTTTTCTCGAGACAGGGTTTCTCTGTGTAGTTTTTGTGCCTTTCCTGGATCTCGCTCTGTATACCAGACTGGCCTCAAACTCACAAAGATCCACCTGGCTCTGCCTCCCGAGTGCTGGGATTAAGGCGTGCGCCATCACCGCAGAAAGCCTTTCATTGGGGCTTGCTTACAGTTTCAGAGGTTAGTCCATTGTCATCAGGCAGGGAACGCGGCAGCAGGCATGGCACTGGAGCACTAACTGAGAACTTTAGATCCTGATCTGTAGGCAGGCAGGAGGAGAGGGACATGGGGCCTGGTTTGGGATTTTGAAACCTCAAAGCCCACCCCACAAGTGACATACATTCCTTCAACAAGGCCATACCTACTCAAGAAGGCCACACCTCCTACTCCCTCTAATTCTTTGAAAAAGTTCTACTCCCTGGCAAATAAGCATTCAAATATGGTGGTGCTGGTGGGCGGGGGGTGGGGGGGGTGGGGGGGATGATTCTTATTCAAATCACCACAAGAGCATTCCAGCTGATGCTGAGGAAACAGGTGTAACTGTTGAAGAAATCAGCACCACTTAAGAGAAACCTGTGCTATACTAGGGCAATGGGAGAGATTTTCCGAGGGTAAAACTCCACCTCTCTGAGGCTCCATCTTCTTAAGAACCAAGTTCATTTGAAGGGGGAAAAAAAAGCTTAAACTAAAGGGGTTTCCCATTTTCTGAAGGAAGCTGCCCAGGGAAGTGTTTTCCAAAGTCAGTACACAGAAAATGATATAGCTGAGGTCCAAGGGGGCACGGTCTGCATCTCAAGCTGGCAGCAGAACTTGGTAGTATCATTCACATGGCATTGAGTTTGCACACGTGGAGGATGCAAGAGCCATGGAAAATGTTTAATGAGTCATGGAGCCGTGTTCCATAATTTTAGAGAGCGCCTATAGCCAGGTAATTGTGGCTGGGTTAGAGTCCATGAGAGGCTATTACCTGACTGAGTGGCACTGAAGCCTAGGCTGCAATGGAGACCCCAGGATCTTAGATATACCCGAATCTGAGATTTTCTCAGTCTGTTGAGGAAGGCTGCCTACAGGGAGTAGAGCTGGCTCAAGGTAGAGGCAGCGTGTACTATAATTTTCATTCTCCAAGGACTTGTGTGGTCCCTTCAGTTTCTCTTGCAATTAATTTCTAGCATCATCCTCTACAATCTGACATGACACAAGCAGTTTTGATTTCTTTTGTAATCTCTAGTTTTTTAAATTTATGTGTATGAGTGTGTGTGCACCACCTGTATGCAGGCACCCACAAGAGCCAGAACCCCTGGAACT